GAAATGATAATTATTAACCAAATTAATTACTTAATTACTCGTTTATAATACGAATTTCACATAAACTTTTTCAGAAATGATAAATTAATTTAACCAAAATTATTACTTAATTACTCGTTTATACTTATATTATTATATTTTCACTTATTGTACATATATGATAACAAATATGGAAATAATTTACTAAATATTTATGCATATATAATTGCTTAGTTTTTTATCAATTAATGATTGCTAAAATAAATTAAATTCACATTAAATAATTAAATATATTTATCAAATAATTAAATTATAATAAATGAACGAAATCGAGTTACTTTAACTTCTGTTGCAATGATTTTTGAAATTTTAGCAACATTTAAATTTTGCATCCTGTATTGTCTTAATTTTAGTAGTACTAAGATTATATTGTTTGCTGATTCCTGTGGTACCAGGCTAATATATAACTGGCACTAGGTATTAAGGTTAGATTCATTAATGCTTTGTCCTTCTATCTTGGATGACAATACTCAAATGTTGTATGAAGAAGAAGGAGTGATTTGTAATTTATCGGTGCTTGTTAGGATTTTTTCATTTCTTTCATTCATTAATTTTCTGAGCAAAATATTTTTTAGTGAAAACAGAAAAGGGTGAAAAAGGCGATAAGGGTGATCGAGGTGAACCGGGACTACCAGGACCACCCGGACCAGAAGGACCACCTGGAACAGTTAGTAAACTTTTGTTCAGTTGTGTTTTTATCAGCCAATGAATTTGATTGAAGGGGAAAGCTAATATTATTTTCTAATAAGTATCAAATTTTCTTGATAATAACTTCAGTGTCCTATCGATTGTCAACCAGGGCGTGATGGACGCGATGGTACACCTGGAAGGCCAGGAGATATGGGACCGATGGGACCGATGGGACCACCTGGCCCACCAGGACCACCCGGACCACCAACTCAAATACTACAAGAGAGACCAGGAGTTCAAACTCTTATTGGTCCTGCAGGACCACAAGGAATACCTGGACCAATGGGTTAGCTTCTACTGTTTAATTTTATATCAGTCATTTGTGAAAATTTATCATTAGTCATAAATACAGCTCAGCATTTTAGGACCAAGAGGACCAGCAGGACCACCAGGTATTGGAGAGCCAGGATTTCCAGGACCTCCAGGAGCTCCAGGCCGCTGTGAAAGATTGCATCCTGATGATATCGAGCGGATCATTAGAGATCCTCGAATCAAGGTTTAAAACTATACTTTTTTCCAGTTCCTTTTTTGTCTAAGAAAATTAATTGAAAACTTTAAATTAATCAGAACTGGAGACTGAAATCATGCTAAATGAAAGTTATATTTTGCAATGATTACAGGGTGAAAAAGGTGATTGCCTCCCGGGAATACCGATTCATCGACCAGGTGAAAGTGAAAAATTACCTTCATATGACCCTCGTCAACATCGTTATACCATGAAAGGCGAAAAAGGTTAATCATGATAAAATGAATTTCGTGTAAAAAAATCGAATATTAAAATTTAAATTTGCCATTAATTTATGATTTATTTTATAGGTGAACGTGGTGACACAGGGCGAATGGGTCCAATGGGTCCAATTGGACAACCAGGACCACCTGGACCTCCTGGACCAGCTGGACCACCATTAGCCGCTTATCCACAACCAACATATACTGCACCTGGAGGAGTAAAAAAATAAAAACATTAAAAAAATTAAATTTGAAAATGAAAAATTCAAATAATCAATTGAATAAAATAATGATAATTAAAAAAACGAAAAAGTCCCAAAATTAAATAAATTTATCAATTTGCTGGAAAAAAAAGTGAAACGCTTACTTTAAATATTAACAAAAAAATTTGATTTTCTATTTGATTGATTTTCTATTTGATTGAATATTTCGGTAAAATTCAATTTAAAAATTTAAAATTTTTTTTAAAATAATCCCTAATACAGCTATTATTTTTTTAATATCTAATTACAATTTAATCATTTTCTATTTAAAAATCCAATAAATAAAATTAAAATTAAAACTGTTTTTTTACAAAATTAAAATGTTATCATTTTAATTATTGATTTACCTTTTTCTTTTTCTTTTTTTTTTAAACAGGTTCAAGTATATCCGACTACAGTTGAATTATTCACCGCATCACATGGTATGCCGATAGGTTCGCTAACTTTTTGCATATCAAGTCAACAATTATACATACGTGTTAATGGTGGCTTCAAAGATATTAAAGTTTGTCATCGTTTTTTTTTTTCAAATTCGATTATTGAATTTAATATTTTAAAAAAATTTAATTCCAGAATAAAAAAAATTTCAATTCTGAAATATAAAATATATTGAAAAAAAAAAATAAACAAGAGGAAAATCTCTGAAAAAAAAAAAATAAAATGAAAATAAAAATTTTTCAGCTTGAAGGTTTTCATCCAATTATGGAACATCGTCCATCAGTTGTAAGTAATTTTGGTGACATTTTTTTTTTTTTTCTCGCCCATTTATTATTTTAATTACAATTACTATTATTCTTATTATTAGCATAAATTTAAGCTTATCAATTCCTTATTTTTTCTTTTTAAAAAAAAACCAAAGAAATATTTTGTTGTTAAAATAATAATTTCACAAATAATTTTTAAAAAAGAAAAAAATTATCATATCAAAAGATATTGATAAAGTAATTTTAATAAATTTAAATTAGTTTTAAGATTAATTTATGATCACTTTTTTCATTCATTTTTAGCTAATAGCTATATGTTAAGAAATATATTTACTTGAATCGATTTTCTATTTTAATCTAAATTTTAAACGAGTTAAAATTTAACAACTATTATTAGAAAATATTATTTTAAAGTACTAAAATAAATACGCGATAGTTTAAAGTATTAGGGGGAAAGCAGTTAGGTTTTAAAATTGATTTAACAATTTAGGAAATTGAATTTGAATCACCGAATGAAAATTTCTTACATTACTGGGTAAGTTATAATTGTTATCAGTTTGTTATTGTGGATGATTAATTGATAGCAATGTAAGCTATTTGTATGATATGATAATGTGATAGTGGCATTTTAGTGTTGTCGTCAGTGATTTTCGTCTGCTTTTTTTGTTTAAAAAAAAAAAGAAAGAAATTTTTTAAAAAAAAAATTGAAATTCGAAATATTTTTGGAAATTTTTTCCACAATTTTACTATTTTTTCAATTGATATTTTACTAATTTTTTGTTATAAATTTTGAAATTTTGAAAATTTCAAAAAGTTTTTTTTCAATTTCATTTTTTTTCTGTGCTCGGTGATGAAAAAACTGTTAGTATGCATGGATCATATATTAAGCAACCTATAATTGTAATATAGCAGTACTGTAAATATATTCCCGGAATAGCCTATACAATATTTCCGGCTTACAAAGATGCGATGCGATTAATTAATTGGATAAAATAGTACTTTAAACTATTCGAAACTTTTTTTGCAAAAAAAAATGGGTCATTAGAGCTAATAAAATATGCTAATTTCACTTTTTTTAAAAAACTAAGAACTATTTCTGCAGCATTTAATTAAGATTTAATCCGGCTAATATCTGAGAAGAAATAATTTCGATATAGCAATCATATTTACTGAATCAGGCTAAACTAATCTATTATAAGTATGCCTGGAAGTGAATATTTCAATTGTTCGCTTAATTTATATTTTATTTAAAAGTTTTTTTTTTGGAATATAGGATGATTAACTTAGATTAAAAAGTGCTTAGTGATAAGCTTAAATTATAGAATGATAATTGATTAAAATTAAAAATTAAAAGTATTTGTAACTTTTAAATTCATAAATTTTGGCAGCATTTTTTCTTTGAAAATGATAAATAAAATTTACTATTGCAAGACGAAAAAAAGAAATAAATTTTTCTTTAAAAAATCATTTATTCAAAAAAAA